AACAATCTAATTATAAAGAATTTTGTTTTTTTTTCATATTATAAAGTCAGTTTCTCTTAATGACATTCTGCAATTTATAACTAACAAATTTAAGTTTCGGACTTCAAATGCACGGACTCTGTTACCTATTACTAAGTTGAATGAAAACAAACAATGAGAAATTCAATCTATTACTAAAATAAATGAAACTGGAATGTTTCATTTGAATTGTAATATTGGATAGAAACTTTACTCCGTATGTTAAAAATTGCGAGGAGATCACAAAAACGATGTTTTTTTATAGTTGCGAGAACCGATGTATATGAAGACAAATAAAGATCCTTAGAGAATATTCCATTTAATATATTAATTACTATCCTACCATTATTACACGCAGAAGAATTGAAAATTATTGGAAATTGTAAAAAAATATAAAAGATACATTGATATTGAATTATGTTTTAATATGAATCTGAGATATTTTATAACCATAAATTTTATTATAAAAGGTTGTATCGGGTGTCGTGAAAAGGAATAACAAACAGATGATCTTTTGCATAAAAAATATAAATCAAAACAGTAGGATTAGATATTATATTAAATATATTAATCTGATTTCGAATTGAAATTATAAAACAAGTTCACAAATTCTGTATGCTGAATGGATACATAATTTCTAGCAATAGATCTGCGAGTCGAATATTTGCTAATGTGGGCGTCCCGCGATGCGTAAATGGGTAGTAATTAAATTTACCGATGAGCATTACCAGTTCGGTTGAAAATCCTTGGGAGATTTTATCCTGCAGTACATTTGTTTTTGACTGTAAGATTAATGTACAGCTGTGTTACGAAACAGTTAATTAAAGAAATTCTATTCTTATTAGTCTTATGGAAAACAAATTTAAAGAGATTAATATTTTATATGGAGATCTGAAGTATAATACTGACAAATTACTTTAAGTCTAAAGAAAAGTTTGAAGTTATAAATTTTCATTTGAATCATAAAAATATAGTCTATACGAAATTAACTATGTTAGTTTAACATGTACTTAAAAATATACACTAAACTATTTTATTAAGTTTGTAATTGATATCCTACAGAGAGATTTAAGTAGAATTAATTAACGTAAGAGTAATCTTCTCAAATATATATCTATTGAAACATAAATCACATCGGGAACTAGTCATCAAATGGAATAGAATTTACAACTTTCAGTAGCGTGGACAGTGGAATTTGCTTCGGAAATTCCTTGAAGTGTTATTCAGAAGTCCATTTAGATATAGTCCAATAGCTGGGAGCGAGTTTACTGGAACTAGCATACAAAAGTTCCGGAATTAAACTGCTTCTACTATTTGTTCAAGAGTTGTAAACACACGTTCATGAGAGACGGCAGTAGAATTTAAGCGTACTTCTTATTTAATTTTATATGCTCGAAAGAGTCTAGATTATTATGATCAGTCTAATATACATAAAATTATAAGTTTTGATGTGTTTAATATATTTGTTTTATTTATTTTTTGCTATGGTAATTCAATTTTAATCTAAAGCTATAGATCGTTAATAGATTTTCAGTTTTGATAGTAAGTTAACCTCATAAAATTAAAAACACGCGTGGTAGATTCAAACGTGACTGTTTTTGGTTGAACATTCATCGTAATAAAAATATTGTAAGTATTGTGAGAACTCATCAAGCTATTACGGATTAAATATCACAGTTCTATTTAAAACTCATTGTATGTTAAAAAAAAATAAGTATAAAATATATTGAAATAAATTAAATATCAGTAATAATATTTGTAATATTTTGGTTCGTATTTGATAATAAAGTTAAGGCAACTTCAAAATATTTTTATGTATATTATTATAAATTCCTTTAAATTAAATACCTTTACCAATATTCCTGACATTTTGTGAAAACTCGTTTATATTTAAGTTAAATCTTACACAAATGGCACCGGACTTTGTGGAGGCTCTATTGAATGCAATTTACCTTCAACGAACTTACTCACAGTACTTGGATGTTGTCTAAATGGAATTATGAACAATATGCACTTACTTTCTGTTTGAATGTTCTTTGAGGTAAATTTGTTGATTAAGTTAGTGAAAAATTGTGTATTATTTTCTTCATCTATTGTTGGTTTTTTTATCTATACAAGTATACCAGAATGTAAAAGTAAAGTTACCTAAACACGTATAAACATTTCTTATTGAGAAAATATTATCAAATATTATACATATATTAAAATTTATGTACCAAAATAATTCAAAAATAATAATTATACTCAGTTATCCAACCCATTTAAAAGAAACACATTGCAGATTTCTAAATGTGAGGCGTTAACATATTACTTACAAATCCATTAAGACTGCAGATAATGGTCGGGCGGAGTTCCACTTTAGTTAAAATTTTAAATGGTTTTGAGTATACCTTAATTACATATGTCAAAGGTAACGTAATAAGTTTAACCTGCTTCAAAACCAGAATGTAATATTTTTAGTACACTTCAACGTAATATTAATGTACATATGACAAGACCGAACTTTTTGGTTCATAGAAAGACGGAAAAAATATATTTTTACTTTTATATTTGGCAAAATTAATTGTTACACTTAAATATTTTTGTATTTAAATATTTTTTTTAATGAAACAAAAAATCAGGAAGCAAATAATATTGATTAAGGAAAATATTTAATCTCTTGTAAATATGATTGATGGTCGTTTTAAAATTTTGATACTTTAAATAAGATAAAAGTGAACATCAAAATAAAAAAGAATTTAGAAACATCTATTGAATATTCTATTACAATATTATCGAATCTTTTCCTTTTTTTGGCTTTATATTTTTTATCATCACATCTCGTCTGTTCGTGATCACGGTTGCTGTAAACTACGTCAGGAGTAGGTACTTTATAATCAAAAATTAAAAAAAACGCATAGTATATCCGAAAAATATTAGTTTCATCATCATATTTTCCTTAAATCAATATTTGCTTTTAAAGACTCAATGTTTCGCAAGTATTACCTCTGTCATTTCTGACATTTGGTAGATAACATAAACAGGCTGAAAATACTGAAAAAGTATCCCCATATGATGAAGTTTTGGTCGAAGTCAATCAAAATCGGATTTGGATATTTATTACAGTCAAAAATTAATTTTAAACACACAAACAAAACCATTTTTACATTATTAGATTACTCAGTTATAGAAGATTTTATTATTACAATTTCCAAGAGATACATTTTGACGACTGACTTTTGGTATAACTGTGGATTCAGAAAAACTATTATATTGTCAAAACAGAATGATATTTCACACTTTACTTCATTTTTTTTATATTCCGTACATAGAATAGGTTTCAAGTCAGTGGTGGCTCAGTGGTTAAAGGGCCCGCCTCTCATCGCCGAGGGCGCGGGTTTGATCCTAGCCCGGGCAAGTACCAATGTGATTTTTCCGAATCATATGTACTTTCTAAGAGTATTTAGACATCACTGATTAATGTTGATTCCCAAAAGAGGGTTGATGTCAGGCAGGCGGCCGGTCGTAAAAACAAATAGCCAAAAAAAACTATTCACAAGATGTAAGGCAGACCCTGGCTGTAGCTGGGAAATTGCCAGGTAGAAGAAGAAGAAGATAGAATAGGTTCAAAAGTTATATACTACATGTATATAAACTTATTTTATATAACTTCTCAATTCTTGCATATTTTACATTACTATTTGTATGCCTGGTGATGATAAATATACGCATAAGAAAGTGTTAAGCCATAGAATATAATATCAAGTATTCTTTTCTTAAGATTATTTACTTCGCCGTCTGTATGATGATAGTAACACAGATGGGTTAAGATTGAGGCCATGAAACTAGAGAATTTTAAAGAAAACACGTTAGTTAATGATTATAAGTCATGAATCAAATTATCCTGATTTTAACTTTACAAAGAAATGATAGTAATATGTTCAAAAAGGATAATGCAAAAAAATGTCTTCAATATAAATAAATATGTAAACATGTTAAAGATTTTACCAAAATTATTTGAAACTTATTGTTTTTAGTTTTAAAAAACTCTATACGTGTATAAAACGTTCAATATTGCCGAAAATATACATAGAAAATTCAAAATAAGTCTGAATTTTCTTTAATAAATCGTAATTTTCTTTCATCCTTTCTCGTTTGTAAGCATTTTAACAACATTTCATAGCTCCATTCGGAGCACCATCCTTGTAGATGCATCAGCCTTTTGTTCAATCTTTCTTGTTTCACTATTCTTACAATGGATAAAAATTCAGAATGCATAAAGTTATGTGCTTGCCGTCCTCTTTTAAGGTGAGCAAAAGTAAAATCTTAAATTGAATGTTAAAACTCTTTTGTCTAAAGACTCATATATTTTTTTATATGTACATTTCGGAGAAGAAGCCAAAACGTGGTTTTTAAAATGAGTGACGTCAGCATAACTGACGTCACCAGTGCGGTTTGTTCTCGAATATCGTCAGCCCTTGAGGCTATCGAAGGTAACCTCACAGCCCTCACAGCCGGTGGGACGGTGTCTCGCTTCCAAGAGGTTCGATCCCCGCGACGGCTCCAGCACGACTGTCTGTAATCAGTATCTCGCCTCTATTTATAATGACTAACAGCCATTGTTATGACTTCACTTGCACAGGTTGTCACGTGAACGACACCTCACAATTTATCTACCCTCAATTATTGATTATTAAAATGGTAACTGCGCTGACATACATATTAGTAAATCGTCTCATAAAATATTAGGTATAAATTTATTTTACAAAACAAATTCTATTTGACCATTTGCTTTTTATTATATAGTGCTTAAATAAGAACATTATTAATTCACATAAAAGTTCTGTAAACTCACATAAGTGAATAATTTTATAATACCTAAATATTATAGTTTCCTCCATTTGGCTCCGTTACTTCAATTTATTTGAATTCTTAATAAATTATTTATCTATTGTAATTACGTATGTATGTCCAAAACAATATTCACAATCTATTAATTGACTTTATGTTATTTTCACTGTCTCACTGTAATCTTCCTTAATCATATCAGAAGCACGTTCTGCTATTGTTATAGTTGGTATATTAGTATTTCCTCTCACAATAAATGGCATAATAGAAGCGTCAACAACTCGTAATCTCTTAACACCATACACTTTCAATCTACTATCAACAACTGCTTCTTTATCTGTTGGTGGACCCATTTTACATGTACCTACAGGATGGTAAATTGTAGTAGTATACTCGACCAGTAAACATTTTAAATATTCGTAAGATCCCCAAAGATGAGATTCACAGTTTTTTACTGGCTTCCTAACAAAATAGGCACCATTTTCTTTGAAAGCGTCAGTTTCGTCTAAACTGATTGCATATCGTAACCCTTCGATCATTACGTCTATATCCTCTTGTACTGTGAAAAATCCAGAATAAATTAACGGCTGGCCATACACAGGATTGGTTTTATTTAATAAAATAATTCCTCTACTTTTTGGAGTTAGCAGAAGCGGTCTAGCTGTCAGGCCGTTGTAGAAAGAAACAGGTAGAATATTCGTCTCTATATATGTCTGAGGATCTGAATAGAACTGTTCAATATTTCTGCCATCAAAGTGAAATTGAATATCGGGAGCGTCTTCACTTGCGTATTTGGTCTTTATAAATGCTACACTATTTAAAATGCTTGTTGTTGATAATGGACCACCCTTCTTGGGTTGTTCGTCATAGTACTTACGTAATTTGTGGAATAGTTCCTGTGGACTGATCTGTGTTGAAGTTTTATTGGATAATGAAATACTGAGACCATGTGTAGTCACATGATCCTGCAAATTATGTCCCACAGGCAAATTAGATATAACTGGTATATGTAAACTTTCCAAATGTTTTTTTGGTCCTATACCTGATAACATTAACAATTTAGGAGAATTCAAAGCTCCGCTACTTACTATAACTTCTTTTTTAGCAAAAACTCTGTAAGTAATACCGTTCTTTATGTAAATGACTCCTCTTACCGTTCTCGTAGCAGGATTTATTATTAACTGTTTTACAAAGGCATTAACAATAATATCAATATTTGGCCTCACTTTCCGTATTGGTTTTATATAAGCTACGTTAGTTGAAACTCTTCGACCATCTCTTGAAGTAGACAGAGCTATATCAGTACCGATATTGTTTTCTTTGTTTAAATCAATAATTGGAAGACCGGTTTCATTGAATGCCTTTACTAGCATGACTGTGCTGCTGTCTAAATATGAAAATCTTTCTACAGTAATTGGCCCTTCTGTTCCATGATAATATGCATCTTTAGCTTCAATATCTCTATTATTTTCAGACTTTTTAAAATAAGGTAAAAGCTAAAATTTTTAACTATATTTTATTAAAACTGGTATGAACTAAAAAAAAGATTCCATTAGCATATACTCACATCTTTATAGCTCCATCCAGGATTCCCCAATTCAGCCCAATGATCATAATCACGCCTATTTCCTCTCATGTAAACTAAATAGTTAACTGAACTTGAACCACCCATAGTTTTTCCGCTGATGATGAAATTAATTTTTTTAATGACGTTAGTTTTATCCGTGTTATGGTTTATTTAAGTGAAAGAAATATACCGAGTCCAAGCACAAGTTTTTCCCCTTATGGATTTGCAGGTCAGTGGTTCCGGCTGCGTTCTGTAATTCCAATCTATTGATGAACCTGCTAAAGTTCTCACAATCCCAGGAATCATTGAAACATCTGGTTCTTCAGGGCCAGCTTCTAATAATAGTATCTAAAAATAAAAGTAAATAGTTTAAAAATATAACAAGAGTTAATCCACCTTTAAGTAACAAAATTTTTAGCTGTAATATTTTTATTATTTTATCTAATTATAAGAGATAAAAATTTAAAGCGTCATCTATGTCTCTTTGAGAAGAAGCATTCGATTTACATGTTATTAATTCATATATATCTGATTAATAAAAACTGCATTTTACTACCTTACTGTTTTTTAACATATTTATCAATAAAAATAAGGTCTATGTTCATAAATTTTATGATCAACTTTTCAGTAGCTAACAATGTGGAAAAAAATTAGAGAAAATTAACTAAAGCACACTTTTTAAAAGTCAAATAAAATAAAAGAAGAAGTGTATATATGTAGTTATATTGGTGAATGCATCAAGTGTAATTATGAGAACAAATAATAAAATGTATTATGTAATCTAAGAACTATCAAAAAACAAGGAAAATGTACTGAGATATTTAATATTATAAAAAGAAAATGTTAAAAAAGTAGCTAAATAAACATTTACTTTGCAATTAACACTTTGAAATAAATGGCCATAATTATTAATTTCTACCAGAAGAGCAAATATTGTACATTAGTTAATTTTCTCACCCTCCATTTTTTAACTTCGGATAATCTGTTTGCCATCACACACCCAGCTGAACCAGCACCAACTATTATGAAGTCATATTTCTTGCTTTTTGTTTTATATATTTTTATATTTTTAGTTCTTTTCACTTTAGATTTAATATCCGACTCCTCTCCAAAAAGACCAAAGCGATTATGAAAATTATTGAAAGTATAATCTGTTGGTTGCCGCTCAAAAAATGGTTTGTTAAAAAATGTATCAAAGTTTTGTTGCAACTTTTCACTTTCAAGAGATTCAAAAAAATCATTTTCGTCCTCCTCAGATTGATATTCGTCATGGTCCGTAATTTTATAAGGAGATTTTAAGTAATAGTAAGGATTATGTTTAGGATAATTTACACTATAGTTCACACCACCAAATAAACGAATAATTAATGATAAAAACACGAAACCATTTGACGAACACTGTGACAAATGAGATAGCTGTTCTGTGCAAACTTGTGTTATATCAGAAGGCAACCAAGTTGTAGTCATCTCAAAGTTTACAAAACCCTTAATAAAAAAAATAAAAAAATGTATCACGTATTTTAGGCCTTACTGAAAAATATTTCCACTTCGTTAATAAGACCTGTTCTTTATCGACGATTAAAACCAAATGATTGGCTTATCGTTAAGAACAGGCAAAAGAAATGTTAAGAAATCTTCACTTCTCATAACGAGGTTATTATGTTTTGCCGAGCTCGCTTTCAAGGAAATTGAAAAGTAATAACAATTTAGCACAAAAAATTGTACGATAACAGTAGACACATCAATTTTTAAAGAGGCTTAGTTAATCTGATTAAAATTAAATATTAATTTATTTGTAGCCATTATGAAAACAATTTGTGACACTCATTTATTCACATCTCGTCTGTCCTTGATTACGGTTGTTTTAAAGTAGCCGAAACGTCAGAATATGTAATTTTTTATCAAAAATAAAGTCGCATAGTATATCCGAAAAATATTAGTTTTATTTAATATGTTTTTAAATCGACTTAGTTATAGTATTGTTAGGTACGAAAGTCTCAAAATTGCTGGCCTTAAATTTTCACTACAGTTGTAAAATATGTCTATAAAGGGGCAAAAAAAAGCGGAAATATAATAAAAAATTATAAGATATTATCATATCAGATTTTTCATTTTATTTTGAATAACAGTTCCTATACTAACAAAGTTGTCAGTTGTGTGAAGAATGTTGATTCTTAATAAGTTTTTCTTAATACATAATTGTTTTTGTACTAATACGCTACAAGAATATTATTCTTTTCTTTTCATAATAACATCATTATTTTCACTTCCTTAAGATGTTTTGTAAATACCTAGGGATGTTATTTTTTAATTACGGCTTTGTAAATGTTGTTGAATAAAAAATAAATATTTATAGCTCGGTAGCCTGTTCAGCAAATTGAACCGTTGCTGTCTATTTAATAAAAAACATTAGTTTATAAAAAAACACGCTTGTAAATAATATTTATTTTATATTTTTTAGTACGATTTATCAATTAGTTTTTTGGGGACATGCGCAGATCGCTCTGTCCCTTTCATTCTCATAATGGATCTATGAAAAGAATATATTAATCCTGGCGGCCCTAATAAGAATAATGGGAAATTGTTAACGAATTATTGCATTGTCATTGGCCCTTGAGACATAAGCAAAGTTTCAAGTTAATCAGATGTTTAGAAACTAGTGATAATCGTGCTCAAAGATCAGTTACATACACACATACAGCCCAAGCTAATATATAAGTGTTAAAAATCGTCGTTATGATTGAAATTTCTGTAGCTTATTAATAATTTCAATATTTAATTAATAAAAGTAAATGAAGCTCATAAGCATATATTTGCTATCTTATAAACACACTTTAATATAAGATCATTATTAAAAATAACAAAATTAAAAGTAAATATTAAGCTGATCTACATATTTTAATTTCGTTAATGAAATGTTAAATTTAGTAGGATGTAAACAAATTATTAAAGAAACAATTAATAAAGAAAAATGAAGCTAACATCTTTAATCGATGTATGTAATTTCCTTTTGTTCGATATATTTCATAAAAATTTACTAGTGATTAAAATGCCCGTCTCTCGTGCTCGAGGGCGCGGGTTGGACCTGGCTCGGGCAAGTACCAATGTGATTTTTCCGAATCATATGTATGTACTTTCTAAAAAAAAGTATTTACACATCACTGATTAATGCATTCCCAAAGAGGGTTGATGTCAGGCAGGCGGCCAGTCGTAAAAACAATTAGCCAAAACTATTCACAACATGTAAGGCAGACCCTGGCTATACCTGGGAAATTGCCAGGTAGAAGAAGATTACATAAAAATTAACTACAGTTGAGAAGCTTCATAAATAATTTTATTAGTATCACAATTTACAGTTTCATAAACGTATTCGATAAATTAAGCAGTTCAAAACAATGCAATGACACTCTCCCTGATTTATGGAACTGACTCATATAAAATGATAGTAAAAATCTGATAGAAAGCAATAGGGAAATATGTGTATAATGTTACAGGCATCCTATATCCTATACTACGTAATAACATTTTATAAAAACACATTCTCGTTATCATATTTTTAGGACCGTTTTACGATGATAGAACAGTGTGTTATGTTTAGAATAAACCGGTTTATGTTACAACGTTTATAGCCATTTATTGAGTTTTATTACTTAAAGAAATATATGTCGCAGTTGTGTTACAAGATTAAAATTTTTACTTCTTCTGCTCTATGTACTGTTGCGAACTTAAACGTGTTCAAAGAACTCATTGAGACACGTGTATATGTACGTACTAGTGGCCAGACACTCTTATCCTTGAGCGTAGGTATTTTCATATGAAATTGAATGGAAGCTCTTAATGAATGAATACATATATAATCCGAGCATTTACTTCAAGTAATTTACTATTGATCTTAATGGGCAGTTTTTTATATGTGTGATTCTAACTAGCTATTCTCAATAATAAAATTTTAAAACGTTTTCACCTCATATTAATTTTATCGGATAAAAACCCTTCCGAAATATTTTTATTTAAAACAAACCAAGCATAATATAGAGAGATAACGTATATTTTATTAATTTTAATACAATTCAACATATAAAGGAATAACGAAGTTAATATTGTTGTTCCTTTTGTTGATTATATTATTTCATTATCTAAATCAAGTTTGCCTCAAAATTATTTTACCATTATTATCGTTTGTTCACTTCTAAATAATACTATTACACTTTTTACATTTTTATAAAAGTAGCCAAACTTCATTACAGTATAGCCGGCATTACATGCTTTTGGGTTTTGCAAAGTAGAGCATCAATTGAAACCACTACATTTCTGATGTATTTCCAAGTTCATTAGGAACAACAAAGAAAAGAACGATATTTGTGGCACTTCACCAATTATGGGTCGTGGAGTGGAGAGTGTGTTAAGAAATAAATAGCGAAAAAAGCAATGTGATAAATGTCATCTTTTGACCAAAACGAAAATGTGTATTTTTTAAAGAGCCTTTTTTCTACACTTCGTAAAACGTTTACTTTAAAAAGACTTTGTAAAAATGTTGTTGTTTTTTGATATAATTATTATCAGTTTAATATAATAAAACGATAAAAATTCTCTTTGTAATTTCAGACAACTTTTGACCATGCCACATTCTACCAACAATAATTTAATATTAATTCAATTGCTTTCAAACTTCTAGAGAATAGGCTTATAAAAAAACTAGGCGAACAATTTTTTTTTAATCCAAATAATTTCGAATGCTATAAATTATTCTAATTTATTTCCCTAAAAAAATAACCTATTATAGTTAATTGAAAAATGTAATGCTTATCTTTTCAATTCAAAAATAAATGTTAAACTCAAATAGAATTTTGTCACGTTATTTCAATATTTCAGTAAGAAAATTTACAAAATATAGTATTCAATTGCTAATTTTGACTTTGATATGAAAAAAACATTATAGTTTTCACAATGTAGCCTTTAAATGAACATTTCTAAATGTTTCGTATTAATTTTTTTTTCTGTTGTAGACGCTTCAATGACTTACCACAGAATCACTCGTAAAAAAATTAAATTATTAAAAACAATCACAATATTTTATACATATACATTCATTATATAATCAGTACAAAATACAATGTTCAATGAATTTTGTAAACGATATAATTAGAAACTGAGCAAAGGAAAAAGGGTAAAGATCGAATGTGGTCGAATGTGAAGTGGCTTTGAAATATATGTATAGCAAATATATTTACAGATATTCTTAAAATAAATACTATATTTAATAATCAAAAAAGGATAAAAAGCTGTCATTAATGAACAAATTTTCTGACTATGACTAATAAAATATATTATTTGATGTTTATACTACGTGTGCCCCATTAGATAAATTATGCAAATTTGTTTTTTACATGTGTTTAGCTTTTTGTTTTGTTGATAGAATTAGTTGTGTTTTTGTACGATAAACCAACATTTGATTAACATTCGCTAAATAATGTTGAATGAGTTACATTTAAAATTGTTCCTTATAAGGTTTACACGTTCAAACAGTCAAAAAAAATTTGATTTTTTTATATGAAAAGTTCATATATATTAATAATGTATATAAGGTTTCTGAGGCTCACGCTCAAGTATCGCAAGTATGAAGTATTAAATATATACCTTTCGAAAGAAAAAAAGAATTTTAATAAGTTTTATGTTGATGCTGTAATTATGATATTAAATTTGAGTACCATTACTTAAAACTGTATCAAAATATAACAGTCAAGGCAGCGCTAGGTGAAGGTAAATGAAAGCGTTTAAAAATTATGTATCATGGATTGTCTAAAACAAAAAAGACGAAAAAAATTTATCAAGCAATCGTAACAATGACGGTCACGGTTTCATAGCCTTGTCACAATTTCGTATGTTTTTATTATGTCTGCAATAACCGATCAACAATATAGATTATTTATATAATTTTTAAGTATTTAAGTAAAAAGCAGTTTTATTTAAACCTAACAAAAGTCTTAAATTAAAAAATATCGTAGACATATTTTTTTCAGAACGAATTTATGACGAAAATTTTTGGTTTGAATCTTTCTTATACATTAGTTTTGTAAAATATACTTTTGTCTTAAGTTTTGTCTAAAAAAATAATAATTATTGTTGTTTTTGAGTCTAAAACTGGAACTAAGCTTTGATTAATGGGGTTTGTGTTTAATCGGTTCGAATCCCGATGCAATACTGCAGCTTTATTCGCTAAGGCATTGCTTTTCGAAACAGTATTCCAAATCGAAGTTGAAATTGAAGTTGAATAACTTTTGTAGACATAAAAGTACAAACAAAACACATAGTTTGGCCACGTAAGAAGATCGTACTCAATAGATTTTAAATTTGGTTCCTGTATAATAATAGTTTGTTTAATTGCAGATAATAATCTAATGTTATACGATTTATCTAAATACACAAAATAAATAACTCATCTCGATACTTCCATCCCAAGCATTTTACAATAACCATACATAGATTTAATTTTTTAATATATATTGATTATTTGAAACTGCGTTATAAGTTGGTAAGTGTGTACTACTTTTGATGTTAAGTGTTTTTTTTTGGTAATTCACAATAATCAGCTTAAATATATTATTAAATTTTATTAGATTAAAAATATTATTAAATTTTAATAAAATTTTGTCTTAAACCACCTAAGGATCCGGTAGCTTTTAAATAAAATGTTTTAAAAAAATACCATATTCTTATTATATAATTTAACAGCAACGTTTATTTTATAAAAAACAATAGCGCCTAATTTAAATAAGGGCGCTCCAATATAAATTGAAAAAATAATTAAATGTATTTAATTTAAATAAATTATTTATATGATTCCTATATATAAAATGTGAGTATTGAAATTGTAGAGAGAGTTATACCTCTGGTCGGGTTTAACATCAAAGGCACTACAATTGATAGCAGTAAAATTTATTTCCATCAGAGGAAATTTGAAAAGAATGAGAAACGTTTTGGGACATATTATAACCTAAGAGAAGTGTTGTGATCAAGAATGTCTACCACGTGGTCACCACATAATATAGCTCCATTATGTATGGAGCGACAAGCAAATTTAACACAATGTTCCTCCGCTGGGTTTTTGTTTCTTTCGTTAGTTGTCAAGTTATTTGGCAATGCTACTTACAGTATAAGTAATCCAGAACAGAATCCCTCAGAATCTCATTCGTCTTTTCATGGTTATAATCCATTTATACAATACCAATCTACATATTCCCCTGAAGGGCATGAATCATCTTCTTCTGGGGACCAGTTATTTCAATACTTTTCTGGGACAAGAGCGGCGAAAGAAACATTTGGTCCAAGATCACATAGAAGGAAGAAGTCTAATGAGTACGACTTTATTATTGTTGGAGCTGGGTCAGCTGGTTGTGTTTTAGCGAATCGTCTAACCGAAATAAAGCAATGGAGGGTGAGTTACTACATTTTTTCAATCATTTTCATTTTAATGTTAAGAGCCTTAGTTGGATTCTTCAGCAAGATATGCTTATAGATAAAAATACTTTTGCATTTTTACTACTTTTTCAAATAATAGAAAATACCTGTCGTAGAAATTTTCACCAACCGTCTACTAATGGTTAACAAATGTACATATAAAACTGGTGCAATTTTGTTGTTATTAATAGAACTATTTCCTAAAAGTATTTGATATATGGTTTAAATATATCAAATACTTTTAGAGATTTTTCATGTCACAAATTTGGAGTTAAAACAGAAGTTTAACAATATAAGACTTAAATGAAACTAATTTTTTCGGATTTAGGTACTACGCGTTTTTATTTTTAACTATAAACTACAGACTCCGGACGTTTCGACTACTTTACAGCAACCGTGATCACGGGCAGACGAGACATCTCGTTATTTAAATGAGTACTTTCGAAAATCTTAGATCTCAATATAAGACTTTTTAAAAGGTTTCTTTCAATACCGACTGTTTAAGATTACAAGATAGAATTAGTTTTAGCTTTAGCTTAGTATGCTGAGTAGTATTCTCTAGGAGCAAATTATAATACCGATATTTTGTGACTGTTTTGCTATTGTATTTTTCAAACTAAGGAATAGTACACAAAAAGTTTGTAACATATATTAGATCAAAATTTAACTTTGAAATGAGGTTCTATAGTGACAACATTCAATATCAAGGCAAATATTGACGAGTATTATTATTAAAAACCAACCTCAACATCTTTTTGGCAATTTTTTTTCATTTTATTTGGCTTTTCTTGTATATATAGAGCTCGAAGTATTTTCCATTTTCTTAACATCAATGTTGAAGTTGTAACTCTGTAATCCCCTTAAATTTAAATGAATTTTAAAAATAATTCAAAATAAAAGAATATACCTACCTTACATCAAAAAAAATAATACAAACATGCTCTTTTGACAAAAACAATCCAGCTTCTCAAACAAGAATATAGCGCGAGTTTTTTCTACCAATAATTATTAGTACTGTAGTGAAAACACTATTATAATTAATACTCTGAAAAATATTTGTTTCTGTGTGCCTTTGTTAACATCTGAAAATTACAGTTGCTATTGCACGGTGAGGAAAGTAAAAACATTTTACATTTTAATTCAAAGTATTGGAACTAAATTTAATATGAAGTCATTGTTTTTATTTCTTTTCTTTTAGGTACTTTTACTAGAGGCAGGTTCTGAAGAACCAGATGTTACAATGGTGCCCTCATTTCCAACACTTAATAGAGACTCGTCTATTGATTGGGGATATAGGACACAACCAGAAAAGTTGACCTGTAGAGGGTTTAGTGGACATCAATGTGTATGGCCAAGGTGTGTTTAATAAATCATAATAATAATAAAAGAATTTCTTTGAAAACGTTTTAGTACAGTTATACTTTTTGCTCTTTATTAACTTATTCAATTCTTACAGGGGTAAAACAATGGGTGGTTGTAGCGCTACTAACTATTTAATATACATGAGAGGACATAGACTTGATTACGACACATGGGCAGAGTTAGGAAACCCTGGTTGGGGTTATGATGAGGTAATTTCTAAATAACTTACGGGAAATTTTAAAACTGTGAGCAGTTGACAATTCATGGTTTGTTTTATTTTAGTTACTGCCTTACTTTAAAAAATCAGAGAACAATCGTGCAATTGAAGCTCTTGATACAATTCACCACGGAGTGGGCGGACCTATGACTGTAGAAAGATATTCATACTATGATGATAACACTTTTATGATTGTCGAAGCTTTTAATGAAACTGGGTTACCGATTATTGATTTAACTGGAGAAAATAATATCGGTACAAATATAGCATTATCAACTACTAGAGATGGAAGACGAATGTCCACAAATATAGCGTATATCAGACCTATACGTCATATAAGACCAAACCTTAGTATTGTAGTGGATGCTTTTGTTAGTAAATTAATTATTGATCCAGTTACAAAAACTACTTTGGGTGTAACATATGTAAAAAATGGTATAACTCACAATGTATTTGCAAGAAATGAAGTAATAGTAAGTAGTGGATCTATTAATTCTCCGAAACTCCTAATGTTATCTGGAATTGGTCCTAGGGAGCACTTAGAGAGTCTAGATATACCTGTTGTGGTAAATTTAGCCGTTGGAAGAAATTTACAAGATCATGTAACGACAGAAGGTCTTACCTTAGCTTTGTCAAATAAAACTTCAACTGTGGTAAGTACCCAAGAACTGCTTGAAGCGGTGAAGAGTTACTACAAACAAGAACCAAAAAAAAGCGGTCCATTATCATCAACGACTGCCGTAAGCAGTGTTGGATTTATTAAAACTAAATATTCACGAGTAAATGCACCTGATATACAATATCATTTTACTACTAGAAATGTTGAGGATTTCTATGCAAATCCAAGTACTTACTTAGAAACTAATATTTTTCCATCAGCATTTTATAATGGCTTTGCCGTTAACCCTCTTTTATTAACTCCTAAAAGTCGGGGAGTTATTTTACTAAATAATACTGATCCTGTATTTGGCCAACCTTTGATATATTCAGGATTTTATACTGTCAAGGAAGATATGGACGTGATGGTTGAAGGAATTCGTTACGTTGTTAGTTTAGAAGAAACTGAAGCTTTTCGGATGAACGGTGCTCGCTTTGTTCGAATTCCCGTCAAAAACTGCGAGGATCATAAGTGGGGATCTTATGATTATTTTGCTTGTATACTCATTCAGTATACTTCAGTAATATATCATCCTTCTGGCACTTGTAAGATGGGTCCGGTGTGGGATAAACAGGCTGTTGTTGACCCAAGATTAAGAGTCTATGGAATAAGCAGATTAAGAGTAGTCGACGCTTCTATAATGCCATTCATAGTAAGAGGAAATACAAATATACCGACAGTTACTATAGCGGAGCGTGCAGCTGACATGATAAAAGAAGATTATTTCACGAGAAACTATCAAAATTAAGTTATATTTTTATACTTTATTATACAAGTAGTATGGTTAAAACATGATTAATGCCGCACTTAATTATCAGGCATTCAGCAATTCATTTTATCATAACATTTCGAACAAACTTAAATTATCCTTCTGATTTGCCATATTTATATTTTAAAAAATAATGTACAGTAGCGCTATAATTTGCACAAAATAACCCAAGTAATCCTTTACCTTGCACGTTTCTTATAACTTACAGATACAAATATTAAATGCTGGTGATAAGAAGACAGGACAAATCTTTTAAAATTTAAAGCAACGTATATACTCGACTAATAACATCGATATTTGCTGAATTACGTCATCTTAATGTCTGAGTAGCCACGTTTGATTAAAAAGTGTATATTATACGTTTAGTCATCTAGATTATAAAGGTTTACTTGAGCTAAGACCTACACACGACTAGAAAAAATACTTATAAATACGTAGTTATCTTAATAGAACTCATTATTGATTAACTTACACATAATAATGTACATATACGTGCCGTTCCTATTCTATCTATGTACATCCATTGTATCTGATATCTTTTCGGCTAATATTATCGCGAAAACTATAAAAGCGTCTATTTCAAAGGCCAAAGTTAAAGTAATTACTATATCAATAAGCCCAGCTACCGTACTCGCAATTTTTCCTTACTCCTCGTGCTAGTGACATTCAAAAGACAGTGATTATTTTTCCTCAGATCAATTGTCTGTTAATTTAATGGGATAATAATATCTTTTAGTTTGATTTTATTTAAGTTCCATAATCACTAAGCTGTGGCTAAAATATTATAAACTTAAATTAATATTATACACAGAATTTTGCTCCCTGCTATTTAAAAAAATAATTTTCTGTTAAGATAATCTGAAGGATGTCAAAACACAGTTATAAAAAGATATAGATTCTGTATTAAGCTTTTAATACATTCAGAGCATCTCAAGGTCAAAAAACTTTTAGCTTTATTATTATTCTTGCCTTGTTAAGCTTACTTACTTTATTCATTGGGAATTGTTATTATTTTGTTAGTACTACAATGATAATTGTGACAATAATGTTCATTACTATGATAAATTAGTTTAATGTGTTGGGTGTTGGGATTTTAAAGTGTTAAGGTGGTGGGAATTAATAGTAATTATCGTGCAAAAATACAAATGTATAAACTAAGAAACAAGTTTAACTTAGTTTTTTTGTGAATTATACTTAAATCAATGCTTTATGCAGTTTTTAAATTATTCTAGTATCATTGTTTATATAATAAAAGCACTTTAAGCTTAATATATTATGTAGTTTTACTATATCAAATTATATTTATTCGCTCTTTGAAACGATAAAGCAAATATACTAGTTGAAAGTATTTAATTATTTATTTATAATTATTATTTTAAACTTGTGTTTAATCTTCAAAACTTGTGCTAAATAAGTGATGTTTTTTTAATATATTGTACCAAAGCGTGTGAAATAAAAAATTCTATGTCAATGAATAAAAGTTGTTAATCACTTTTAGAAATATTTAATTATGTGTGACGAACAATTCAGTTTTCAATTTTAAATAAATAAATTTAGAAATAATGTACACAGTGAATGAGAAAATATATAATGGGTATTTTGACACAGGTTTCAGTATTTATTGTAGAACATCTGGTTCGAAATACATATATAGTATCATTTTAATAAATATATTTTTGTTTTTAAAACCCAATTATAATACTTCATAATAATTCTACATTAAAGAAAATATGAGAAAATGTTGGCATATGGTACCCATTGTGATTTAGAATAAAATTCTGCGCCATTCAAGAAGACCTACATTATTAAGAGACTTCTATTTGGATTATAAGGATTAGAAGAACCGCTCAAATTCATAAACAAGTTGTACATATGGCTATCCACTTTTAGCTTATTCTACTTAAATAATACAAAATAACGAGCTTCTCTCCTTGCTTTCTGCTACTCAGTCAGCGTATATGGACACAGACAGTTTTGACAAGAGGCATTAAACATTTTTTATCATTTAAATCGTTGAAAAACGGAAAAATAAACCACCCTTTTTATCTTCAATACTGTCCCTGAACGAAACGATCTAATTGTGACCTTCATTGCAGGAGATATTAGTTTATAGAGGTTAAAATATTAACTGTGTTCATAATACTTTTCAGAAAAAAACGACTTGAAGGTCGCCCTGTCCGTGCCTCCCTTGTGTTACAAGAATCACTTAAAACCACCCACATTTGAGCGACAATCTGAGATAGTACTATATGTGAAGGGAATTATTGACCGAATAGGCAAAAAGGATAAGAACGTTATAATCAAGACTATATACAAAGCACACAAATAAGTGAGCATATTCCTGAGACCGATCAAGAGTACCATTCTTTTACAACAAACGGGTGTATACAAACTCGTTTGTGACTGGGGCTTATCATACATTAGACAGACAAAAAGAAAATTTTCAACATGGATTAAGAAACAGATCTCAGACATCAAAAATAGGCGCGCGCGCGTGTGAACACACAGTGGACAAATCAAACCACTATATTCGGTTTGATAAAACACAAAACCTTGCTCGTGAAGACAGATACATACCGAGGTTAATTTGCAAGCTATTGAAATAAAGAAACATCCCAATTTCAATAGAGGATAGCTGAAATATATTCAACATCTGAGACCATCTTAAAAATATAAAATCCCATGTCCATGATCACACCGCAGGACTGCGTGACAGCGTAAGCGCATTCTGCCGGCATCCAGAGCGGTACGCCACAAAAATATGTTAATGGCGGTAGATGACAAATAACAGGACCAACTGACAGACATTCACATGTCGTCTGAACGTGATGATGGTTGGTGAAAAGTAAACAGAGTTAGTAGTTTTTTAAAATAATAAAATATGCGTAATTATCCATATAATTTTAATTTTATTTAAATGAATACTCACTACAGTCTTAGATCTCAAGGCCAAATTATTTTTTTCTAATAAGTATCATTCTATTAAAAACTATATGTTTATTATTTATATATGATATACATATTTCGAATGTTACGTGTTCAAATTCTGCTCGTGTCGATGTATTTTTTACTAGCAAATTTAATAGCAGACCTACTATCTTCTTTTTATTTATTTATTTATGTTTCTAACGGTAGGTGTTATCGTATTTATTACCTTTCATATAGTTTGGGATATTAGTATATTTGACAAGTATATATTTCCATTGAAAATATGTACATATTAAAGTATATTCATTGAATGACATATCTCTAAACTTTGACCAACATCTCGAGATTTAATACATCGGCATTTATATTAGAAATTAGTGTTTTTTATTTATGAGTTTCAGGTATAAAAACTGTACAGGCTAGAACGAACTGTAATATGTACTATCTACTGCAATAACGCCCTCAAATAATAAAGTGGGTCTAATTTTGGTGATTGATGTGTCTGTTATTTCTTCTAGCTGGAAATACACTGTGGACTGGAAGGAAGTTAGACCGGACTAATATGAGAAGGACGGACTAAGTAACGATGGATTAGCCCACTTAATAAAATACAGAAGAGACTGAAACGAGTATGCAAAAGCATAGGGCATCTGGAATGTAATAGCAAATGCTCAAAAACTGGCACAAACTGCTTAGGAGGCGACAGGTGAGCTAACATTTTGGAAATCAGGTGTCATTAGAGCAGTTATATGAAATTATTTATTTAGATCCGTCAATCCTAACTGTCTTTGTTCGAAAGTTCATAGTAGTTCATTCTATTGTCAAAAAATAATTACTTATAAATTAGATATTATTCAATAGAATTATTTTTTAAAGAAAAATTGTTTTTAAACATGAAACAAAAAATATTTTTTCAGTAATGAATATTAAATACTTTAAATAATAAAAAAAATAGAAAATAAATATATAATTTTGCAACTTTAAATAATAAGAATTCTTATGGTTCTTAACTTTCTTAGACTATACATAATTACTGCTATTAATAGCAAATTTATCACAACGTTGTTTATATAGCTGGCAATAAAAATATTTCAATTCAACCATATCGAATAAATTATATATTTTATTTACATTTCAATATTTAAATGTTGTACATATATAAAAGCAGACGTTATTTTAAAACAATATTCTTAAAATAATTTTTGAATTCATTTAAAACAAATAAATGGAATAAATTTAGAGATGTCTGCAGCTTGGGTTCCTCCAGACAATTTAACACAATGTTCAGCGACTGGATTTACATATTTGACATTACTTTTACAGCTTTTTGGGTATGTGAATTACACTATAAACTATCCACAAATAAGTGAAAAACAGTTCGATTCCGAGATTATATCTAATGAAACTGGAGATTGTGCAAAATATTCCCTTACTGAAAATTGTGAAGGTGATTTGGAAATAAACCAAATTGAAAATACGATATTAGAAAATGAAAATCAACCCCTTCAGACATCTGATGAAATATTTCCTTACATCGACTCTCAAAACCAAACTGACGAACCCGAAGAATCAGAATTAGTTGAAGAACTTCCCCACGAAACTATGAACTCAAATTCTAAAATAACACAAAAAGAGAAAGTACTAAAAACGAGAGCAAAGAAATCTTCCAAGTATGACTTTATTATTGTCGGTGCTGGATCAGCTGGTTGTGTTTTAGCGAACAGACTTTCAGAAGTAACGTCATGGAAGGTAAAGTTTGTAATATTTCACTTAACAAAGACTTATTATATTTCAAATGTGCTTAGTACTTTTAAAATAACAAAATTAGTGACAAATACACTACAATATACAAGCTTTATTTTACACTAGAAGACCCAGCGAACTTTGTATCGCCCTATAATCAAGAAATATCTGTTACGTTTTTTTAATAAATAAATTTAGGTTATACCTTAGCCTCAGAAACATGGTTATGCTATTATTAAATAATCGCGCATATATCACGTTTGTATTTTTGACATAGCGCCATCTATTGAATACTTAACTCAGTCAAC